AAGAGACCGCGGCAGCAGTTTACTGTCGGGTATTTGTCACGCAGCGCCGCATCCAGTGTAGACAGCATCACTGATTATAATGGGTTCATTGTATTTCGTCGCGTAGCTCGCATCCGGTGTAGACGCGGTGAGAGCATAGACTGTAGGGTGACAGCCACGCACATGCACGTGAACTCTGAATTCTGTTCACTTCTGCGTCTATTTGTGCCTGAAATTCTGTGCTCTGCAAGTATCCTTGTGAACACAGATGCTTATGGCTCAGGTGAAGGTAAACAATTGAGAAAGAAAATGGATGTGTAACAGTAGCTTATATTGGTTTACAGCAGTTTAATGTTCCTGAGGCTTTCTGTGTTAAGAATGTTAATCAAACAACAAAACACATAGAGAAAAATCACTTTTGTAGCTTTAACACAGATTTATTAGATTTAATTTATACAGTGAAGACTATTCAGTGTTATTTTACATTTGATTATTCAATTTCTGTACCTGAATACTGTTAGACTTACCTGAAAAATATAAAGCACTGCTTATTTCATTTGTATATTTGTTCTGTTATATATCTATGCTTGTAATTTGTTTATTTCCTATGCTGATTTACTCGCCTACAAAATCACCCCAATCATTGATATATATATATATTTTTTCTCATATAGAGCTTTTCAAGTCATCTGGTGAAATTTATTTTCTTCCCCCATATATATATATATATATATATAATATGAATATATATCACAGAAAAAAAAAATCGCAATGTGCAATCTTTCCAATATCGTGCCGCCCTAGTAGAGTGGCTTATTGTCACAAAGCTTGTATTTGACCTAATATGAATTCTAGTTCCATTTAATGTATACTTGACTATATTGATAAGAAACATCAGATTTAGATTTAGTAGGTAGTCAGAGAAAGGGAATTTTCTAGAGGGGTGGGTTAAATGCAGAGAGTGAATTGTAAGTGTAAGTGTACATGTTCGCTAGGGTTTGTCAGGTTGGCTATAGTGTTGCAAGGTTGTTTGGGAAGTAAATTGTGTTTGCTGTGAAAACTGATTGCCTTTTCCACTGACATTAAAGATCTTTCCAATAGAGATGTGACTCCTAATGTCTGATTTCCTTCTGATACAGAATTATCCAGAAGCCCGAAGCACAGGCCTGATCCAGATGAGCCTAGTGATTCAGACCAAGACTCAGATGGTATGTAGTGTGATCATCTACAGCTTAGACTTTCTGGCATGCCGTGTACAGTAACGCCTGTTTCACACATACTCCGTTTGCAGTGCGTATGCGGTGCAGAAGCAGCACGGACTCATTGTGCTTTCGCACAGGACGCGTTTGCAGTCCGCTCCTGATCCGCGGCTGTTTACCACAAACACAACATTTATCCATTTTGATTTCAAATCCAAACGTAGTTAGCCTATACTGAAAGTGCTTTTTCAGCATTGAGATCCTCTTTTATCACAGTACAGTTACACAATCTTTCATAGACATATTCACGTTTAAACTCAATAAATAACTTTGTTTAACTACCACCACGAGTGCCATCTATTATTGCCTTGTTTATCTAAAAGTGC